ATGAGAGCGGTGAAATGAAGAGGAAAAAAATAAGAGGCCATGAACATGTCAGAGAAGTCATTCTCCATGGCCTCACCTCCCTTGACAGAAATGTGTATTACAATCTGTCAACCAGGCAGTGACCATCTTTTTTTAAACACCCTCCCAGGCTGTGTGCACAGAATTGCTGGTCCCACAGAGCTGGAAGTAGTGTGTTTGGAAGACAGAATCACATTACCCTTGTTAGGACACAATGAGATTACACAATTTCTCTTCTCCTATTCCACTTTGCTTTTTAACATCAGCCTGTGAAAAGTAACACATTCTAGGATTTTATATTAACTGGCTTCAGTTCAGACTGGAATGCAGAATTAAAGACATTGAAAATAATGGCTTTTTTTTTTCTGTCAGCTTAACCACAAAATAAGCAATTTAAACATAGCTCAAAATCAGTCCAAAATAGAAAATCAGTGTATTTTTCAGTGATTAAAAAAATTAATGGCTATAAAAGTTGTTTAATGCTATCCAAAGTTCTTTCTTTCCCTTTTTTGAAATACTCAGACTTCCTTGACTGATATTTGAAAAGTTGAAGTTCAGCTTGAAATGAAAATACTGTTTTAAAACAAAAAGTTTCATCTTGAAAATGTCAAAACAAAATGTTTTACCTTATGCAGATTCTTCTTTTCCCTTTTCTATCCCTTGTTATTTGCTGAATTTAAGAAGTTGCTTAGATTCTTGAGAAATGTGATTGTATGGGCAGATTTACTCTTTGCATTTTTTTTTGTTCAATCTGTTATCTGTCTGTGATGAGTTTCTCTAATGGTTTAGTTGAAATACGTTAATTCATGCATTCTGTTTCCTTCCTTCTCACTGATTCCTTGCTCTCCTTGGAGCTGGGCTAGTCTGAAATCTTACCCCCAGGTACCCTTAAACTTTGGAGAACCTTTGGATTTGACATCCCTCACTGTACTTGCCTGACCTCTTAATCCAAGATCTGAGAAGACTCAACCTTTTGGAAAGTTGTGGTGCAAACTTCTTAACTTCACATCTCAATGCCAATTGCCTCTTCATCCTTTGAGCTTAATTAGAATTTGTTTGGGTTGATATACATGCATTTTTCATTAATTTCTTGCAAAGTACTCTTTGGGTTCACTTGATTACTTTCCCAGGTCTAAAACTTGCCATTTTCTCTCCCTAGTGTGACTCATTGCTTGCTTTGCAATGCTTCACTATAGAAATATGCACCCTGTAGTAAGTCTGATGTGATTAATATCCTTTAAAACCGACCCATATTTAATGTCAATGTAACACTGGCACAGAAATGCCAGAAACAGACACAGTGTTAGATTCTTTTTTCCTCTTTCTCTGACTAACCTTATCCCCAGAGCTTCAGTATTATTTTTTTTGTTATTAAAGCAGGGTTTTCATATAAGAACAGACTTAAGAAACAGAGGAAGAGAGAGAAGAAAAGAGGTTATTCAGTGTGTAAGAGGCCTCTTCTCTCCTTCCCACATTATTATTAACAAAATCTTCAGTGTCTGCAAGTGCATCTGTTTGCACATGAAAAAGCCACCCCATGCATTACTTCAATAGTGCTCTTGCTAATTGATGTGAACGCTTACACATGCAAATCACAATAACTCTCAGTTTGTGCATGCAATTACTTGATTTATGCATGCAAATGTCCATCTGAGGCCAGATCTTAACCTATTGTAAACTGGAATAGCTCCACTGACTTGAGTCAAACCATGCTGATTTATATTTGCTACAGAATTATTCCATGGTACTTTTTCTGCCAATTTTCATTCTTGGTGGAATTATAGATGCCGTTACAGACTCGCTTAAAAAAGTTGACCTTTTGCATTCTTAGTAGAGGCAGTAACTGACTCTAATGATGGCCTGGATTTTGCATTGTCTAAAAGTTCTATATGCTGAACCTTGTCTTTCCTCCTATGAGCTCTGCTTCTTCTATAAATCTTACTGTGCCCTATAACCTACAGTCTGAAAGGAAAGGAGGTCAGCAATTAGCCTTTTCAAAATGATGGCATGTTCATGGAAGGGCTTTGGGTGGTCCAATATATCAGATTGACTTTTAGTTACCAATCAATTCAAAATCAGTTATGGGATAAAACGAGAAACTAGATAGTCTTCTGGTCCATTAGCATTAAGATAAGTTTGATTCCAAGGCTGGAGTGAAGGTAGCTGAAAAATGGAGATCTGGAAAAGGCTTAATTTTTCAAATATTTCCTCAGCATAAAATTTGCTAAACAATGAACAAAATATTTTGATGCAGGTGTTGATTTCAACTGAGATTACTTCCACTGTGTCATAGTCCATGTTACACTTGTTAAGGGAATGTTGTGGTCCAAATGATATCAACTTGGTCTCAAAAATAGGTTTTTAGAAAAATAGGCTTTTAGTTCTGGTTTGTTTTTTTTTTTTTTTTTTTTTTAAATTTCTAGTCTTCTGGGTGTTTAAAGAAAGAGTTTCAAAATCATTACTAAAAGCTTTGCATGGATGTATTGCAGAGCTCATGAACTACAGAATGTCAATTTTCTTTACATGGGATAGGATTGGTCTGACTCTAAAGACCGCAGAGATGCTCCATTGGCTACATTGGGTGAAGAAACAGGCCTTTTAAACAAAAGTTGGTTGTAAAATAACCAGAATATGATTTAAGCTCTCATTTGAGAATCAGCTGTAGCAGATAATTTGGTTATGGCAGACACTGCTGGACAGCGGATACACAGGAATGCTTCTCCAGCTTCAACCATTCACCATTCTGAGCAAGCAGCCTACATTGCTGTCCTGGCCACATTTGTAAGCACAGTCATTCACACCCAGGGAAGTGCATGCCACTGGTGTACCATGAATACCTTCTAAATGGTTTTAAGTAAAGTGTCCCTGAAAAAGCCTGCTGAACTTGGCACTGAGAATGGCCAGAAATTTGCTTCCAGAATAATCATGAGTGAAGGAATTCAAAATGGAGAGACATGTAGGTGATAGAGGTGATTCTGGAAAAACTTATTACTTTCAGCTGGATTTGCTTACTTGATCTTAGCTAATATATTTGGCAGAAGTAAGGATGCAAGGAGCAGCATGAAAAGCAAGCGGTGACAAGACCCTCAGAGAGACATGGAAAACAAAATCCAGGACACAGAGCCAGCAATATGTAGAAACACCTCCTATTTTCTCAAACAAGGTCCAGATTCAAAGAGACTTGTGTCTGTGATACTTGGAAATCCTGAAAAAAAATGGGAATCTATGCATGCTGTAGTGAGATGTTTTCAGGAGCAACATGCAGACAAGGCCTGAGGAATAATCAACTTGACCTTCTAAAGGATCTGATGGGAGGCAATTTTAGCATCCAGACGTGACTAAATATATCTTTCTGCTCCCTGGCAAACTAAACAGCTATTTTGTCCATGAGCTCTGCTTCTTAAAATTACTACTTGATTTACAGCTGTTAAGTCATTTTAAGGACCTTATTAATCATTTGCTCTTGGCAGGCAGAGTTACGACTGCTAAAAATAAGAAACAATGTCTTGTGTCTTAATCAGCAAAATGGGGATGGTGGCCAAGCAGTGGAGATTCTTGCAAACTTCCTTTGCACATTTGCGTATGGTGTGTGTTGTAGATAAACCTACGAACTGCATCGTGTTTGGTTAGTTGAGCCAGTTATTGAAAGGAAGCTGAGTTCTGTTCCCACTAGATTATAGTGCCATGATTGGTCAGGGAAATTGTGTGAGAAAACAATATTTAGTTGTGTGTGTACTTAGGAAAGATCTCCTCTGAGACTGATAGGTACATCAAAAGATAGGTAATTGGCAAATGCTTCAAGTATTAATTATCTTTTATTTTTTTTCTGTAGAAGTTGATACAATAACATTGAACTGGACAAGAGTTAAATGTGACTAGAGCTATTTGCTATTAATTGTTATAATAAAATAAAGAAGCTCTGTGTTCATTAGTGTGCCTGATAACAACACATTTAAGTAAGATTTTAACTTCTATACCCCTCAACAAAGTTCTTAGAATTTCTCCTACTTTTCTATAATGAAATCCTTGCAAGAAAACAACTGTGTGTGTACTATATTTCACTTTTACAGTTACAGGCACTCAGCTGCTTTTGTAGGGTTTATATCAGTTATTGCAATAGCCTTTAATAATAGAATATTACATGTAAAGAGACTGGATAAAGACAGTTGCGTAGTCAAACACTTATCTCTCATATCATGATCCCTTGGCTGTGGAAACTAGATCTATCCAAAACCCAAGCAGAATAGAAACTGCTTCTTTGACACCTTATTCTGTCAAACCTAAGGATTACCTGCAAGATTCAAAGGATTAACAAAATATTACCAATGTAATGGAAAAGACAAAGGGTTCATTTTGAGTTCCCTAATTATCATTCTTTTTTGTAAACAAAAGGTAAAAAGACAAGTAAAAATAATATTGATTTAATAGCTCACTAAAGAGTGCTGTAGTTCATGAATTCTATACAATTCTCAGTCACAGTCTTGACAATGGAATAGGGAAGGGAGAAAAATTATTTCCAGACTGAGAGTGAACACTTAGTGTGAAAGTTTCCAAAGCAGTTGTGTTGCAAACTCTGTAAAAGACATTGGGTTTTACTGCGCATTTTGAAAGAATATCATCAGTGCGATGATGTGGACTTCATTAGCTCCAGCTGCAACTGTGGAAATAAATTTGGGTTGAAGACGTAGTCTAACCTCACTATAATAAATAACCACTGGGCTTGGATAAATATTTATGATATCAAACTGTTCAGGGTAATAGGATTTGGCTGTTTGCTGCTTTAGAAAAATGGAGAAACTTGCAATTTAAATTAGACATTTATATATAGTACTTTTATGGAAATTGTTTTCCACAGATCAATATTTAGATGAAATATTAAAAAGGAAGTCCAAATGGAATGAGTATGGAAATGAAAAGGACTTTTCCAGATCATGTACAGCATGTATGGGGGAAATTTTTTTTTAGGTTTATACTAATCTTAACTTGGCTTTTTTTTCTAACAGACTGATCAGTAAAATTCGTTCACTCTTGCTGATAGGAGAATTAAAGTAGGATGTTCTGGTGAAGTTAGGATACTGATTTTGGGAACAGATTATGTTTGCACAGAGTATTTGCATAGGAAAAACAGCAATAGGAACAATGATTATATGTAGCTTCGTTCAAAATAAGCAGTCATAGTTTTGCTTAAGAACTCACATAAACATTTTGGGCTTATCTACACTGAGTATTTGTATTTAAATATGCTTAGACACACATATAGGCACATATTTCAGTCATATAAAAAAATTTTTTATGCATATAATTTTTTTATTATACTTGTAAGGTTTCTTGGCCATGGCTTTGACTGTCCTAAGTGAGACTGTCTAACTGCCAGTTTTCAGCTTGTCGCTAACTGAGTCAGCAGTCTTCCTTATTTTATAATATCTGAGGATCCTACTGGACAACATGGTGGACATGAGGAGCAGCGTGCCCTTCCAGGAAAGAAAGGCAACAGCACAAGGTGAAGGAGTACAGTCAGCAGGTGAAGGGTCATGATTATTTTCTATTCAGAAACTGGGAGCATGTCAGGAGCACTGTGTCAAATCCTGGGCTTCCCACTGCAAAAAAAAAAAAAAAAAAAAAAAAGGGATTGGCATACTGAAGTGAGCTCTGCAGAAGGCTACAAAGATAAAGAGGGCTCTGGAACACTGTGCATGAGAAGCTACTGAGATGCTGAGAGAAATCAGTTTGTTCAGTTTGGAGAAAAGAAGTACAATGACTGTTGTGTACAACTAAGTAATAGGATGATACAGAGAAGTTGGAGCCAGATTCTTTTCAGAGGTTTTCCCTTCTCAGAGAAGGGACAAATTGAATTTCATGGAGATGAGGTGATACCCTATCCCATACTCCAGCCCCTGCAAGACTCTTGGGTTCTGGACTTGCACAGGAGTCTCTGGTGCTTTCTCTCTCTCTCTCTTCCTTCTTCTTCTTTTAATCTCCTGTCTTAATATTTTGGGTAACTTGGGACTGAATGGGTTGGATTTTGCCAAGTTGTATGGGTTAGCATGTGCTAAGTCAGTGTTTTGTGGAATTCTTTGTTTTGGTTGTATGTTACCCTTTAAACTTTTGCCAAGTTCTCTTATTTCCTAAAGTTTACCAGTAAAGTACCCCCTGAGAAAATGTGTGCAGTTTTTCTCCTATGCACTTTCTCTTAAGGTGTTCAAAGAACCAAAGGCTCTTCTAATATGTCCAGAGGGTGGATATTGTTGGAGCCTTGTATGGCAATAATATTTAATAAAGAATCAATCTAAGAAACAATAGTCCTGTTACTCCAGTCACCTTTCAAACTGTGGTCGGTCCTCACAGACCAATAAGTGATCATTCATACTCGCTTAATTAATCTTCAGAAATAAGAAACTAAAAAATACTTTGAAATCGCAGTTATTTCTACTTTTTAAGATAAACCGATCTGAATGTTGTCTCAGCACACGCAGCAGTAATCAAACAAAAGAATCCTGAAGCAGCAGAGAACAAGGGTGAGGACACAGGCCTGATTAAATCCATAGTGCTACCCAAGGACCACGAGTAACAATGACACTAATTTTAGTAAAAGGAAACAGTCCTCCTGATCACTACGGAAATAGTTGTTGATGTGTTTTTCTGAAGAAGTGATGTCAGTATGAAAGGGGAAGTGTTATGCAGGAGCTATCACTGGCAGTCATAAATTCACAGAACCTTGTTGATCAGAAGGAATCTCCAGAGGTCATTCAGTCCACCCTGTGGAGTCAGCTCAGAGTCAGCTGCCTGGGGCTTCACTGCTTAAGTCTTCACCAGCTCCAAGGATGGAGAGTCCACAGTTACACTGTTTGACAAATGTTTATCCTCTTCATTTTAGTGTTCAGTGAGACCCCTGGACCTTTTAGCCAGTGTGGATCACTACTTTCTGAGGGGCTGATTCTTCTACTTCATGTTCATATTATGGAGCACGATTTCACATTTGCTCCATTGGGTTTCAATCTGTTGATGCTTGGTCCACCCTTAGGATCTTCTGTGATCATTAATTCCTCTAAGAAGTAACATCCATTCAAACTAATTTATGTCATAAGACATGCAAAAATTCAATCAATCAGAAATGTATTGTGTTGGTCACTGTGGCTGTCAAAATTTGACTTGTTTCTCTTTGTAGTTTCACATAAGTACTCGGGTATTCAGTTCTACATTTATTCATCTCACTGAATGAGCTCTATTTCTAAAAGCTACTGCTTATGCCACTCAGTGATCTTAGATGTCTTTTCTAACCATAACGATTCTATGATTCTATGTAACATTAGAAACATTTTCCTTCGTTATCAGAAAATCCACATACAAGTCTACAGTATAAAACCAAGGCAAACATGTTTTTTCAAGCCCTAAGAAAACTGTACTTCTTTTTCCTCAGATAGATTAATTCTGTGTGATTTTGAAAGGTTCCTGCAGGTATCCATTGACTACAATGATGTAATTACTTAGCACCTCTTCAAATGACAAAGTTTGCAAGCAAACAATAGATTCTTTCACTCATTGGGAACTTTTAATTTCATTTTTTTAAATGTTTTCTTAAATTCTTGAGGAAATGTGTTTGGTGGCTGCTGCAATTTGCAAGTGCATCTTTGTCAGTGTCTACAGGTTACCGAAGCTATGATCAAGGTCAAGTAGAGCAAGATTTTATCCTTAAAATTTTGCAATCATTTCCTTTGTGAATACTTCTAGTTCTATCAACCTTTCCCCCCTCCTCCCCCAAATATCTAAGTTAGTTAATTCTAGACAGTGTGCCTGAAAGACGTCCTTGCCACAGCACACTGTCAGCCATAGCAGAACCTATTAAATGGCTTACATGGCATTCCTGGGCAGGGCCAGATAAGTATATGTTTTAAAGTAATTTTCCAAAACACAGCTTTTAAACTGTGTTTAAGTAACCCCTGGAAATACAGTCCCCTGCTTTTATTGTCCATTTTAACTTGCTTGTGTTAAACAGAATTGTCTCAAGTTGTGCTCCTACAAATAGTATGTGAACTGACAGTGTACTGGGTCAAGACATTGCCTCTCTACCCCCTATCCTGTTGCCAGCATTTTTCTGCCTGTAAAAGTAGCAATTGCTCAAACCTCATTAAATGGAGTGGTGGAGAACCTGCCCATACTTGGCCTCTCTCTGCCTTTCCTATGCTTTCATTTGTACTTTTCATTTTGCTGTCGGAGGCAGAGCAGCATGGGAAAAAGGTCCAAGCTGTTAATATATCTGCACAAAAAAAAGGTGCTGGCTGGTATGATTTTTGTGTCCTTCTCTTGCTTTTGTTTTCAGTTTGGCTCCTACAGCACAGGTAGGGCTCAGAGTTACCGCCTCAGCTGCTGCTCTTGTCTTTACAGCCCACTCTGAACTGTGGAAACCTTCACCCACACTTCTAATTGAGATTACAGGTGTTGCCAGGACATTGCAACCTTACTTGAGAGTGAGTTGATTTTGGATGTATCTCAGTACCTGGCAGCACTGACAGCAGAGCACCAAAGGGTTTTTCTGCTGACAGCCGTGATCTAGCTGCTAGGTCGCTTGGTGTGTCTGCATCTGTGCTTAAGTGTCACTTTAAAATACATCCCAGATTATGCATGAATCATGAGCCAACTTGTCTTTTAAAGGTCATCTGAGCCATTCAGAAATAAACAAATTCACCGTGGTGCATAAAAGAAACCAGCATTTGTAAAATTGCTGAGTAACAAATGCATCTATGCAGGGTCATATTTCCAGCTCCCATATAAAAAATATGGGTCAGTGGGGATTTGATCCATGATGCATCCATCCTGCATACTGTGTTTGTGTAAGTAATAATAGCAATGAAAATAAATGTACCTGTGAGGTTGCAAGTGAATAACATGGCTCCTTTTTCTCCATCAGCTCTGTGTGTGTTCCCATTTCAACCACTGTGCCCACTACTACATCTGCAGTCTGAGCAGTGGAAAGCCAATGAGCAATAATAATAGTAGTTTGACCTCGCCTGGCCTGTAAATGAAATACCAAACTGTAATTCATGTCCCCTGTTGCTTGGTGGTTTGGAGTAATTCCTCCAATTTGTCATATTGATACAGCTGTTACATCCCATTGATCTCATTTACTGAATATCCTTATGATCCGTGATTGTCTCACAACTGACTTAAAATACAACCTTCTTCTTTCCCGGGCAGGCTGGAGCCTGCTTTCTCTTTTGGCTTATTTTGCTGGTTCTTCTTTTCTTGGATTATGTCTTTTTAAAATGTTGTTGAAAAGCCCAGACACGAGGTACAAAGTTGGGAGCATTTCTATAGAGACTGGCTTACTAGTGAAGGACACATCTGCTCCCAGTGTCTCACCAATTCCAGCAGCATGACACTAGTTATTTGCCACTGGTAAATGTTCCTCAGTATTATCTGGCTGAAGGCAATGTGTTTGCCTTAAACAGGCAGCTTTGGGCTTCCACAGCCACAGAAAAAATATAGAGTCTAGAATTTGGTAATTTATGGAGAAAAGCTATTCACCTCACATAAGAGTAGGCCCCAAATTTCCAGGAACAAACAAACATAGAGGTTAGTACCTGCAGCCTGTCTCTATGAGCAGAGACAAAAAACTTGTTCTAAAATGCGTCTGGCTCAGTTTTCCTCCCGGTGAACTGCTGGGAGTTAAACACTCGGAGCAGTTAAACTGTCAGATTGTTGCATCGAGGGCTTCTCCACCTTGATGGCTATCACATGGTGCCAGCCTAGCCCCCCAGCTAGATGAGCCAAGGGGAAATAGTTGTTTCGGTGGTAGTGAAGTGGAAGAGATGAGAGTATTGTCACAGAAGAACAGTAGACAGCTTTTTGCCCTAAATGGGAAATAATTCTTGCTCTCGTTACAAACCTGTCGTGGAAAATGATAACTGTCACTTGTGTCTTGTCTCTGAATTTAAATTAAATGCATGATTGGAGAAAAGAGAAATGAGGGTTATATCAATGACAAAACACTTACTTTTCCTAGTCCAATGTAAGCTAGCATCTTGTTGCCTGTGTCTGGAGCAGATGCAGTGTTATCTAGTAAAAGAATTTTGGGACTGCACACTAAAGCTCAATCAATAGCTATTTCTGGTTTCTGAGCCCTGATTTCTGTGGATTTCTTTTTTCAGCCAAAATGGTAGCCCATTTTGAAAAGAAGACTATAAGACCTTGCACTTTTTGCATTCTGAAAAAATAATATTTAATAGGACCTAACTGAGTTTTAAGACAAATGGTAAGATCCCCTTTGATTCTGCAAAGTTCAAGCTGCAAAGAAATAGGATCTAAATGTAATGTTTTCTTGCTATGTGACATTTTCTCCTAAAAACTGAGTATCAGTAAAATTCACCCTAATTCAGAGTGTTTTCCCAACGACATAACTCTCCACACTTTAGCAGGTTCCCTAGCAACAGCAGCGACAATTATGAGCCTCAATGCACTTCGGTGCAGCACCTCGCTGAAGCAGGGCACTGGATTTACAAAAACAGATTTTGAGAGCTGCAATATCCATTTTCGACACAAGGTGGCTGCAGAAAATCAGTGTTTGGTTCAAGTTCACACGCGCGCGCACACACTCTCACTGACACGCCTCCTCCCCCCTGTATTTCACTGGACTTGCAGGGAGGCAGATGCCACCCACTTGGGAATGGCATATACTCCCCTTCACATCTCTGATGTCCGTTTAACTTTTCTGCTTCATTTACATTCACTCAGCCACTCTGTAGCTTTGGACTTTGTTCTTATTACCCTGTTGATCTTAATTTCTCTATATTCAGTGTGCATCCGCATCCCTTGGTTTTCATTTCATTGAGTTTACAGAGAAGCTAAATTTTAGAGATAAACTGATTTATGGATAATCACACAAAACTCCACCACATACATGAGAAAACCCTCAATTTTCAATATTGATCTTTGTGTAAATTCATTTCCAAGGAAGAAAGATATTTGAATATCATAACATGAGATCCATTAGGTTAACATAAATATTTTCTCGTCTTGTTTCAGTTACAACTTGTTCATCCATTTTATGGTCTTTCATCTCTGAATCACACAGATACATATGATATAGAAACCTGATATCAGACTAATCAAGTCTTTAGGTAATGGTTTGTCTGCTTTAGGTGGGTGCACAAATATGCCTGCAGGTAACAGCTAGAAAGTGATTATATACATATACATACACATACATGTTCGTATGTATCAAGTGGTCAGAGGGCGAACAACTCCCTTGTGCATTTTCATGGAAGAGCACCCACCACCAGAGCTTAGGCTTGAGTGTATTTTGCTGTGTTACAGATTGATCTGCAGAAGAATACACATGCCTATCAAATGACTTAAAATTTGTTAATTTTCTTACACTTAATTCACCTATATAAGTGTTACCCCATAAGACAGTATTTTCCATCTTTCATTAGGCATCTTTATTTTCCCTGCATTCATCACAAAAGAAGCGTAGATGACAGGTTTAGGCTAGACATCAAAATTCTGGATGGCTAAAGCCAGGTAAAATAATGCCCACATGAGAGGTAAAAATGATGAAGCTTAAACTAAGAATGTTTTCTAGGCAAAAATGTTAGAAACTGATGAATAGATTGTTTCAATGTCACTCATCTCCTGTAGAGAAACAGATGAACAAGAAGGTAATTCTCTAATATTTATCAGCTTAACATAAGTATATGTTATTATCAAAAGTTTTATATTGGCTACATTGTAAAAAATCATTATTTCATCTATAATCTTGCATTGACTGGCAAATCAAGCTTTGGTTATAACTGAAAATGATATATGATACCTACTTCCAAAAATTGTTTAAAGCCTTATGTCTGTATGGTAGCCTACATTGTACTGTATGATGCATGTTTTTGGTTTTTTTTTGTGATTTTGATTCTGTTTACCTATTTATAAGATCCAAGAGAGAAGAATTTACAAGCCTGGATGCAAGTTCCCCGTTTTGGGATTCACTTCCTTTACTCTTCACTCAAAAAGGGGAAATACTACAAATGAATCATCTTAAACGATAGGCACTTTCTATGTCACTTCTATAAAGACACACATTTCTTCCGTACCAAAGAGCCACAAGCATGAGGAATCATACCATATATAGGCAGTGCAGCACAAAGTTTCAGGTGGTTTTCCAAAGGCATCTGGAATTGCCTGGGGATGAGCATAAGCTGTGTAGCAAATGGCAGCTACATACCATTTCAAGAGAAATATTAGTTCAACTGCAACCAATTTCCCGCCTTTTGCCATGGGAGACTATGAATCTATTTTTAACTTGGGTATTCTTTCTTTACTGTGTTGTGATAGCTGCAGGAATACTGTCTTCAGTTTATTAAAGCAAATGTTAACTTGGAAAAATGGATTTATTCAGACTGTACCTAAAGGTAGAAATAATACTGTTGTCCTTTATTTTACAAGAAAACTCATAGCAAAAGGTGTAGAGAATGAACTGGTGCAAAACACTGTGAGAGTAAAGTCTTAGGGATTGATAAGTAAAACATAGAGAAAGACCATCTACCTGCCACCTCCTCTGGCAGACGTAACCTGCTATGCTATCTATGTCAGGAAATCCCAGTTTAAATCAAAGTCCTACAGCCAAGTTGCTGACTTTGTGCATGGTGGACAAAGGCACATTGAAATAATTGCTCCCTTTGGCCCTGAACCTTTGCTGCTGATAGTAGTTGGGGATCCCACAAACATTGATGAGTCTGTCCTGTGACACTGTAAATTGGAGGGTTGAAGGATCCCTTGAAATCAACCTCTTGATACCTTTTCCACCTTCAGATCTGCATTTTCTTACCTCTGTATTTTGCCTCTAGAAGCAAATAAAACCACACCAGCACTCTACATTGTTGTTTTACGGAGTATGTTTATCCAAACTGTGCTAGGAGGCCAGGTGATATCCCCAGCTGACATACCTGTGAACTGAAAAGAACAGCCAGAGGTATGGTGGAAGGGAAGGGTGTCAGTATAAAAAATGGCAAGCACTGCAGAGTGAGAAAAACCTACACCTCTTTACTTTCAATTCTACTGTAGGAAATGGGAATGGAATGAAATCTCCAAGACAGAGATTAAAAAGCGGTTGAAGATGCTTCAGAACCGTAATGAGAGTAGAGACTATAGTCTTGAAAAAATTTGCCTGAACTAATTTTTAGGATGATTGACAACATGAAGTTAGCAATAGATAGGATAAGCTTTTAAAACTGAGAGACAAATGGAATCCTTTACCAACCCTCATAGTCCATTCCTCCATTGAGTTCACCTGTCAATAGGATTATAAGTATGTTAACTGTTAACTGAAACAGTTTATTATAAATTTTTATTCAGATGGATTGAATATCCAGTGAATTCAACTGGGCTATAGAGCTCAGGGATTAAATTTGAATTCTCTTTGAATTTCTGTTTAGAAGGAGCAAAAGCTATCAAGATTTGAACAGTCTTAGGGCAAATATTCCTCTAAAAAGACAAAGAGATAGAAAATGAAAGGAGCAGCAATTGCCTCCACCATGACTGCATAATGTAGGCATTACATAACTACTAAGGTATTATCTCAGCTTTCCAGGAAGCTGATGATGTCATGTATGTGGGAAAGGCAGAATCACAAAGGGGTCAGACAGCAGAGAAATGGAAATGACCATGGTCAGGGAACTTGTGGGCTCAGCTTGGATAATCTCTGTTCTGCAAAGGAAATGGCATCTGTGATTCTGCCCAGAGGGAGCAAATCTGAGATGTTCTGGGTGCATCAGAGGAATGTTTTACTTGGCAGAAAACAGATATTATGAATTTGTTTTTATAGGAAGAAACTGATTAAAAATGACTCAATCATCTTTTAGTATTGTGTGAATAGCTTAGACAATCCTAAATTTATTTTACTGAGTAAATTGCAAGAGGAATTTACTGAGTAAATATGTATGAGAGGAATCAAGGGAAAGTGTAATTTGTAATCAGTAACTTAATTTAATGAACTCTTCCCACATCAGAAAAAAATGAATTTTAAATCACCAGATTAGATAACAACAACCTTTAAATATGTAGCTGAGTATTTGCTCAAAGTTTCTGGAGGAAATTTTTTGTGTTAGCCCAAGAATGAATATGACCTGAAATATTTCAACACCAATGCACGCAGCACGAAGAACAAAGAAGAGGAGCTTGAAGTTTTGGCCTAGTCCCAGAGATTTGACCTCACTGCCATAAGTGAAACCTGGTAGGATGAGTCCTGTGGCTCGTGGGATGAGTCCTGGTGGGAGTGCCCTCTTGGAAGGTTACAGGCTCTTCAGGATGGACAAGCAGGGCAGAAGAGGTGGAGGGGCGGCACTGTGTGTAATAGAAGGGTTAGAATGTATAGATCTCACAGTTGGCAATGTCTCTGGCAAGAATCTAGGGGCAAATAAATAATGCAAATATCATCGTGGAAGTCTACTTTAGACCTCCCAGCCAGGATGATGATGCCAATGAATTATTCTTTGAGGAATTAAGGGAAACTTCCAGGTCAGCTGCCCTTGTCCTTATAAGGGACTTCTACTCGCCAGAAATTAATGGAGCATCACACAGCTGGTACAAACTGAGCCAGAAGATTCCTAAAAAATGTGGATGACATTGTTATGGAACAGGTCCCAAGGCAAAGATGCCCTCCTTGATCTACTGCTTGTCAACAGAGTGGATCTCATGAGCAAAGTGGAGATTGGCACCCATCTTGGCTACAGTGACCATGGACCAAATGAGTTTAAAATCTCTTTTGACAAGGGAAAAAGTACCAGCAAAACATCAGCTCTGGACATGAGGAGAGCAGGCTTCAGGCTGCTCAGGGAATTAGTAAGTAAGGTCTTGTGGGAAAATGTTTTTGCAGATGCTGGTGTCCATCAGTGATGGTCACTTTTTGCATATCACCTCCTAAGGGCATAGGAGCAGGCAATTCCCAAATGTTGGAAGTCAAGCAAGTGAGGCAGAAGGCCAGCTTGGCTAAGAGGAATCTTCTATTGGAAACAAGGCAAAAAGGAAGGTGTATGCCCAGTGGAAGCAAGGTCAAGTGACACGGGAAGAATTCAGAGATGCTGCTTGTTGCTATAGGGAGAAAATTCATGCAGTCAAAATTCAACTGGAGTTGAAGCTGTCAGAAATGTGAGGGACAACAGAAAGAGTTTTTTTTCAAATACATTAATGGCAATAGGCAGTATAGAAATATCATTAGCCCATTACAGGATGAGGATGGTCACCTCACAAACAAGGACAGACAAAAGCAGAAGTGTTTTACACATTCTTTGCCTCTGTCTTCAACACAGATGATGGACCAAGGGGGTCTCAGTGCTCCGAGCTGGAGGACCATGACTGTGAGAATGATCAGCTCCAAACTGACCCTGAAATTGTGTGGGATCTGCTGCTCCTGCTGGCTCCCTACAAATCTATGGGGCCTGATGGGATTCATCCAAGAATCCTCAAAGAGTTGGTTGATGTAATTTGCAAAACCTCTCTTGATAATTTTTGAGCTGTCTTGGGAATCCAGAGAGGTCTCAGATGACTGGAAGCTGGTGAACATTGTCCTGATTTTCAAGAAGGGCAAGAAGGAGGACCCCAGAAGCTACAGGCCCATGAGTCTCACTTCAGTGCCTGGTAAACTTATGGAGAAGATTATTCTCAGGGATATTGTAAAACACCTGAAAGACAACACTGTCATCGATCACAGCCAGCAGGGCTTCATGAGAGGGAAGTCCTGCTTATCAAACCTGATTTCCTTCTATGACAAGGTAACCCACTTAGTTGATCAGGGGAAGCTAGCTGATGTAATCTTTTTGGATTTCAGTAAAGCTTTCACAAGATCCTTCTGGACAAACCGTCCACCACACAACTGGATAAACACATCATGTGGTGGGTGATCAATTGGCTCATGAATCAAGCACAGAGGGTAACAGTGAATGGGGTAACATCAGACTTGGGACCTGTCACTAGGGGGGGTCCACAGGGCTCCATCTTAGGCCCTGTGCTCTTCAACATCTTCATGAATGACTTGGACAAAGGACTGCAAGGGATACTAAACATGTTTTTAGATGACACTGTGAGGAGCTGTTGACTCCCTCAAAGGCAGGGAGGCCCTGCAGAAAGACCTCATCAAATTAGAGGACTGGGCAATCACCAACCATACGGAGTTCAACAAGGAAAAGTGCTGGATTCTGCACCTGGGATGGGGCAACCCTGGATGTATGTACAGAGTGGGGAATGATATGTTGGAAAGCACTGCTGTGGAAAGGCACCTGGGGGTCCTCGTCAAAGGCAAGTTGAATATGAGTCAGCAGTGCCCTGGCAGCCAGGAGGGCCAACTGTGTCCTGGGGGGCATCAGGCAAAGCATCGCCAGCCAGTAGAGGGAAGGGATTGTCCTGCTCTGCTCTGCACTGGAGTGGCCCCACCTTGAATATTGTGTGCAGTTTTGGGCACAGCAATATAAGAAAGATATTAATCTATTAGAGTGCATCCAAAGGAGGGCGATGAAGATGGTGAAGGGCCTTAAGGGGAAGCCGCATGAGGAGCAGCTGAGGGCACTTAGTCTGTTCAGCCTGGAGAAGAGGAGGCTGAGAGGAGACCTCATTGCAGTCTCCAACTTCCTCATGAAGGGAAGAGGAGGGGCAGGCACTGATCTCTTCTCTGTGGTGACCAGTGATGGGACCCAAAGGCATGGCCTGAAGTTGTGTCAGAAGAGGTTTAGGCTGGATATTAGAAAAAGGTTCTTCACTCAGTGGAACAGGCTCCTCAGGGAAGTGGTCACATCACCAAGCCTGTCAGAGTTCAAGAAGCATTTGGATGATACTCTCAGGCACATGGTGTGACTCTTGGGGATGGTCCTGTGCAGAGCCAAAAGTTGGACTCAATGATCCTTGTGGGTCCCTTCCAACTTGGCATATTCTGTGATTATGTGATTCTGTGATCTGGTAATCCAGAAAAAAACCAATTTTTTACTGGTATAATACAGGGACTGGCCACCACCACCAGCATATCCCAGTCACAAGACATCTCAGAATTAAATCTATAACTCCTTTAAATTCAGATAGTGTATTATGGTGTATTGAGTTCTCATTTAAGACTAGTGATTCACGCCACTACTCTTGGAAATAAAGCAGAAGCTCAAACCAGAAATCACTATTTCACTGGTACCTTTTACCAGGTATTAGAGCACCTCTATGACTGTTAATTTATAAATTACACATATATATTAGTATATCTTCGTAGATGACACAACTCACATGAGAGCACACAACCCGAGTTTCAGAGAGCTATGGTTGGAAGTACATTCTTTGGAAAAATGTTTCTATTTGAAGTGAAGTGGTGGAGTCACCATCCTGGACATGTTAAAAAAAATGTGTGGATATGACACTTGAGGACATGGTTTAATGGTGGACATGGTGGCAATGCTAGATTGACAGTTGGACTTGATGATCTTAAAAGTCTTTTCAAACCTTTACAATTCTATGAAAATTCTGTAAATGACTTTAAAAAGTTGGGGGTTTTTGTTTGAAATGATGAATCTACTCACCCACTTTTACGTATTTGAAGTTAAATAAATGCTACAACATATTTATGATATATGTTTATCACATGTAGTATGTTAAATATATTGAATGCATCATTGCATGTGTTATATTTATACTCATGTATGTGTTATAAAATTACTATTTTCTTGTGGTTGGAGATATACGTATGTGTGTGTTTCTACAGAAAGAGTGCAGAGATGTGGGTCAGAATATGGTATGAGCACTGTTGTCTTTTTACACTTTTCCTTTAAAATACCAGCAAATTATATTTATTTTCTGAACAGATTCAACACAGACCTTTCCTTTCTCCAATATTAATAATCTTGACACCTACAGGATTTCAAAATTCTGCCAACTCTCTAATCGATGTGTTGAAAGGATTTTCCTATTAGCATCTTATTTGTGTTTCTTGGTGAGATGTTTGAACCTGAGCATATAATCAATAGTTTGCCAAGCATAAGTTCAGTGGGATATCTTAGTTTTATACAGAAGCTTTTCTGGATTCACACCTTTTTTTTTTTTTTTTTTTTTTTTTTTTTTTTTTTTTTTGCCTATGCCTTAGTGAATTTACAATAAAATTCTGATGAACCATGCTGCCAAAAGTGAATATAAAACTTATGACCCTGTGCCCTAAAAATAAGCATCCTACTTTATAATAAATTCAAGATTATGGGGAAAATGTGCTGGAGGACAGTATGGAGCTTGGAGCAGGAAGATGTTTTCTGAAACAATGTAACAGTTTATTTTTAAATTACAAGATTTTTGTCTACATAATTACAAAAGTTGCTGTACTTGGATTAAAGAAAGACATGATACATTTTGGAACAGATTTTTTATTTAGAATATTTCTCCTGTAATTTGCTTCGATCTCATCAAGACACATGGGTAAGCATTGCTAGAGGGGGACCCTCTGTCTCAATCCTATAAAACAACATTATTTACAAACATATTGGAAAAAACTAAAGAATCAAAAAATTACAAAAAGCTGCATGTCCATCTCTCTTTGCAATAATGTCCATCTTCAAGCAACCAGTGTCACATGTCAGTATCTGCCAAAACTTCATTTTAGGGACAAAACCACAGACAAGGACTTCTTCCCATGTCCAAGCTCAAACTAGTGAAAACAAGCTTGGGGGTTTGATCTCTGGATGGGCCATTCACTAAGAGTTGAACTTGATGATCCTCGTGGGTCCCTTCCAACTCAAAAAATTCTGTCTTTCTATGAGCAGTAGTTTTGATACCCCCAGAAAAAAAAAATAAAATTAAATTTAGAGCGAAGTAGAAAAGCTGTTGGACTACCCTTTTATTCTGTGAGTTTTTTTCCTCCTCACATTTGTCTGTATGTTCGTATTTCACTGCCTGGTGTCCCTAATCCTTATGCTGGTGACTGGATGGTTTTGTTGATGGCTTTGCAAGAAGCATTGTGCTGGGTAGCTTTATCAAGTAAGGATATGTGTGAGAAAGAGGGCAAGGAGGAAACGAGAAGCGTTTTTCTGAACCCCAGTATATTGTCTTTGCAACCAGACAGTTGCAGAGACTTTTGAAGGACAAGATTATCTGTGTAACTGATGAAGAAAACATTGCTGTTTAATAGGCATTTTATAAAGAAGTGTAGGTCATTGACAAGGTATGCTGCTGACTCTGGCTTCTTCTGTTTTCTTTATGATGGTGGGTCATCTAATAGATATGTGTCATTGTAGCTTCTAAAACACTGATTCAGTTTACAATTAGAATCAAGGGCCTCTAGCTTGGAGGTATTTTTTAAACCCACATGTCTGGATTCACAAATACAACCAGTTACGAGATCTGTTGAAAACACTTGAATAAAAGCAATATTTTAATTTCAATAAGAAAAGGAAGAAGGGAATGAAGCTTTGTGAAAATGTCTGGAATTTGCTATCCTTTGCCTTCAGCTCTGGTTCTAGGGACTCCTTAGTGAGATGACACCTAGCAGGATGATAACTCATGGTAAGAGGGAAAAAATTTTCACCTGGGGGCATTGTTGTGTCCTGTATACATAAAACTGTTCATCCAGGATAGCTCTGATGCTACAGGTTTCCTGACTGCTCAGTGGGGGTTTCTTGCATTGCTACATAGGAAAGCTACTCTCTTCTACAGGCAGCATTTGTCTCTGCTTGTGCTCTATTTTATTAGTCATTAGCAGTAAATGCATCAGTTACCACTTCTTGGGCAACAGCAATGAATAAGTCTACAATGGAAATCCAGTCTTCTCACAGTTCCTTCCTTCTCATCTTTTGTTACACAAGATTTCATGAAGTTCATGATGTGCAATCTTACTCAGCTTAGGTTTCTTTACAGACAGCTGACTTAGATGTGAGAAACCTAGAACTCATTCATTTAATAAAATTTGGCAACACTTTATTTCAAGAAATAGGTAAAATAGAAATTAATATCCATTTTGTAATCAATTATACAGGATCTCTTCTTGTTTTTCCTAGGCTTCTCTGCTGGCAAAAGGAAAGCAAACCAATGTCTCTTGGTTAAAGTACATAATTCTTTAAGCTTCTCCCTCCATCTCTTCAAAGACACATGGTGCTAGGTAAATTACTTGGAACTGAAATAATCAGAAAATAATTTAAGAAGTCTAAAAAATCACAATAAACCTAAAAAAATAGGGGATTTAACTTAACAATGCTCCTGAAATACTCAAGCGCACTTATTCCAGGAACTCAGTTTATCCTCTTGCATTGAACTATGAAGTTTAGGTATAATTATGGAAAAAATAATAAATCATCAGGAGTTAATAGTAGTTATTAAACCACATACTCAACTAGAATCATGATTTTGGCTCCTCAGTAAGCAGGCAGCTTCAGTTAGAAACAAACCTCCAAACACTTAAAACATGCCACTCTAAATCAGAAAAGCTGAGAGAACAATGTAATAGTAAGTAAGGAAGGGAATAAAACTGCCTGCTTATTGTCCACAGTCAGGCAAGGAGAAACAGATAAGCCTCTAATGCCCACGTTAACTATTACCTTGACAAAAATCTCACTTACCCTCTCAGCGCACAGGCTTATTGACAAAGAGATGGAGCACAGGAGCTGACTGCAAAAGTCCCTGTGACTCTTCCTCAGAAAAGTTACTCCTGTGGTGTAAATTTCGTCACATTTAAACGTATGTGTGTGGCAAATCAGGTAATCTAAAAACACTAACCCAGAACTTTCTTAAGTTGGCAATTGCTTCATGGGCTGGAAAATCTGGAGGTTGAAGATCACTATAGTTCCCTAGGGCTGGACTTACACAGAGCCTCAAGGACTTTACAGCCAAAAAGAGGAAGTAGTTTTACTAGCAGTTTGCTTCTAACTTTCTGATCCTTGGAGAACCACTGGGTTTTCAAGAGAGAAGAAATTCTTAAAGTCTGTTTCCCTCCACAATGCAACTTCACAGGAAAATATTTTTGCTACAAATGTTTACACAAGTGTAAGTGTCTGAAAAATACACACCAAAAAGAGGGGGTACACTGCGAGCAGGGATTGCAGAAGCATGGAGTCTCCACAGTTCATATTGTGCAAAGAGAATAGGCCATTCACAGTTGAGACTAAATTTCTGTGTCCTAATGGTAAGTTATCCCAGAAGCTCTTTACTGGGCAGCCCTGCCAGCTTACAAAGCTGTGCCCCAGGATGGCAGTGTGCTATCGCAACAGCGTGGCACACACCCTCAGGGCATTGCGAACACAGCTAAAAATATTGCCACAGAATAAACAAACAGGGATCAGTACACAGTTTGCGTACCAATAGATGTCAGTGTTGCATATCTTATGTAGTTTACAGTTCTGGCAGACGGAGAAGGTCTGTATATGTGTCCTGTTTCATTTCATGGATTCTTGTCTATGCTTTTTTTATATCTAAGCCTGTCCATATGAAAAAAGAGCAAGTAAACTGGGGCATCTGCTGTCTAGTGCTTCATCAGTTACATAGTTATAAATAAGTTTAGTCTGTCAAATAACAGTAAAAACAGACCTTTACCATTGATCTGGTTGAATTTGCAGGCTTGACAATTTGTAATACCATCTGCAATCCAGTTGCTAATCAGACTTCAGAGAGAGCACAGAGGTGAAATGGAGGAGCTGCAGAGCTGCACAGAGCAGCCCACAGCTGCTTCAATGTCAAGTTGGTGCTGAGATACTATCTGCTCATGTGCCATATTGTTGTGGGCATATGTAACTGAGAACAGGACTTGGCATGGCTTTTTGGCAACCCCTGCATCTGACTCATGCTCTAAGAGAAATACCAGAGCACTCCTCTGCTAAAGCACTGAGAAAAGGTGCCTCTTCCACACCAGATGCATCAGCTGGAAACTCCACTCTGCAGCAAGGAGAATTTTTCTGGAGTTTTTGTTTCCTCATTAAGGGTTTGTTTTCCCTTCCTTGCCAGATCATTCTTCCTGGCCATCTCCTTGCACTGCAGCCCCCACTCGTGCTCTGGCATCTGTGGTTACGTAGCAGGGGAATCACAGAAAATGTTACTATAATTAATGTGCCACTGCAGGATCCTGCCCTGCCTGTGTTTTCATTCTTGGCTAGTGACTCATCCCCTCTTTTATTCCCTGTTATGGCAATCAACATGCACCAGTGCCTTTACCCCAAATGGTAATGTTTTTATTAAGGACAGTAAGCATAACCCCTTGCTTGGCGATGCCAGATAAAAGACAAGAGGTTTTGATCCTACCACCATCACCAGAAAATCTGAAGAGGTTTTTTTGCCTCTTGAATTTCCTGCATCTCATTAGACTATCCAGTGCACATCTGTAACAGCTCACAACCAGGCCTGTCAGCACACGGTTCATTAAAAAGCCGTGGCTGCCAGCTTCTTTTGGCTGAAATCTTTCCCTTCACAGTGTAATACAAACACTGGTCTGTGCACTCAGTACCTTTGTGGGAGCTTGAGGAGAATGAAAGCAATCTTATCTGACAGTTCTGTTCTCTGTGGGGGTCAGTGTGTACTGATGTGCAATTGCCTCTGTGATCCTCCGGAGTGGGAAAGTGGAAAATCCCCATGGATGAGACTCTGACCTGAGGAATTTGCTTTGTAAATTATATGGAAATGTCCAAGGGGAGAGAAGGTTTTGTTCTCCTGTACTTTTTTAATTGTAATTTTCTCTCCTCCCCCTATCATGTCATATCATCATATCATATCATATCATATCATAGCATATCATATCATATCATATCATATCATATCATATCATATCATATCATATCATATCTGCAACTTGCAAGGTATATACTTAAAAATAAAAAAAAAAAACAAGAAAAAATATATGAGGATTTAAGTCAGGGCTGTTATTTCCAATTCCTCTTTTCTCTGCCCTAAATAAAAAACCCTTCTGGCAAATTATTAGAATTTAATTCTTGGAGCATGTGAACTACTAAACTTACATCAAAAGCCAGAATACCTCAAACTTAAGCTGCCTTGAAACCTTTGTCATCCCAATAACAAAAGCTGGAGATGCAGACTGAGTATCATCACCTTGCTCTGCTAATACTGATCTTCTTCAGGAATCTCACACATTTCCTGCATTGGGGATCCAGAGAATTTCTTATGAAAACATGACTCAAGACCTATTTTGGCTAAAAGCATATTAATTTATGGCGAGTTAAAAATATATGACTGTCTGTTGAAGCATTAAAAAACACTGAGAGTTTTGTAAGCCTATATTAAAGAAAGAGGAAAGGTGGCTTTTTTTTAATACTTGGAAGTTGGGTGGTTCTTTTGTATTTTTTTTTAATAGTAAAAATGTTAAGATAAGGTAATCAAATCAAATAGGGATGGAAACATAGGTGACACTTTTCCTCCTTGAGACCCAATTTGTCCCATAAGAGAGAGCATCAGAAGGGCAAGGCTTGCTTAGAAGGCCCACACAGGGTACTGCCAGTAGCCCTGGACTGCAGTGGTCTCCTGTGGGAGAAGGGAGCGGAAGGGGTGTCCCATTTGAGAGAGCACTGCAAAGGATTCCCTGGGAGGGTGCAGGTGCTGGCTGTGCTGGGCAGGTGCAGAGTGGCACACACATCCTCATCATGACAAAATCAGCAAGCACTGGGAGAGGCATGTTGAGGATGGGCAGTGGCTGTGAGCAGTCACGGCCAGAGGTCAGGGCAGCACCAGACAAAGCACGGGGGACCAGAAGCTGTGGCTTCCTGTCATTGTCCTCCCTTTCCTCTTCCACACATCTGTGTCCATCCACTTTCCATAAAACTTTCTTTCCCATCCTGCCTGAGCAACTTGGTAAGTGTAGGTAGGGTGATCATCAGGGTGCGAGGTGCTCTATGGCTCTGCCTGACAAGAAGGGCTCTGCAAATTGCACAAGCTCTTCCCGCTGCCAGCTTTAGATGTTGTGGCCCCAGCCCACGTTATTAAGCCAAGCCCTTTTCCCTCGATGAGACAGGCACACCTGGGGACAGAGCAGTCTCACTCAGGGGGTGAGATGGCTCTGTGTAATGTGCTGCAGAGAATAACCAGTACATTTTACTTGCATAAATTTTTTTAAATCAAGAATTTTAAAAACAGAAATAAATCTTTCAGTTTTCGCTTGAACAAAATATTCAAAATATTTGGCTTAGATGCAATGATTTTTTAGTAGTTGCATTTTCACTCTGGCTTCCCCCAAAACAGTTTGGGAGAGAATGTCTTTGCAATGCCTTTGCAATTGCAATTTGTTAGTGAAGAAATTGCCATGGGAGAATTAATGATGTCAGGTAAGACACTGAGTGAGTTTTGGAAACCTTCTGATCCACATCCTGGCACTGATCCCAGTGTATCTAACAAAGTAACTGCTCCTGCAGACACAGACTGTAGTCTCCTCAAAGCTTTGGTGTGGTATGGCAGACCCTCTTACTTCAAAACTTGGAACTGGATGGGTAGATTGCTTATCCTGGCTCTTGCTGGATGAAGAAAATCCCGTCTTGTGAATTGAGCGCAATGAGGCTTCTTAGAAAAGTAGGACCTTTTTAAATCTCTACTACTAATCACCTAGAAAGCAGCCATACCAAACAGAACTTCTCTGCTTTTTGGTAGTTTTTTGTAGCATTACTCACCAATTCTGGAGTGTGCTTACCCTTTTCATGTGTTTGAGACATTATTGTATTTCATGTGCTTGAAAGTGTTCAGGCAGGACTGAAGCTGGAGGTGCTAGTCATTTCATAAACAACTTTGGGAAATATCTCCCCCTCTCTTGACAGGTTTGCCATTTATTCTGGAGCAAGATAGGACAAGAGAATGTGATGAGTTTAAAGAAGGAAGGCCACATGAAAGACAGATGGCTAATGTCCTTGTAGAACAGAATTTACGCTTTGAGCCTCATGAAATATTTCCAGAAAACACCCACATCTAACTATCACTCAGTTCAACCTTTAATGGTTGCCAAGTTTTTTGAAGGTTAAAATAGTGTAGAGTCCTGAATAAAGATTTGGAGACATTTTTGCTTGTGTATATTCAGCTAACCATGTACTTCAAGTGTTTAAAGGTTTGGGGGTTTTTCCTGTTTTATTTTTTGCTAGATTGATCTCATTTGGGAACGGGATTCTCCTTGTCTTATCAGAAAGAGGCTGGCATGTTTTAGAGGCAATTGTCCAAATAATAAATATGGTAACAATTAGAGTGAAGCCCCATCTGACTTTGACTTGCCATCAAACTAGGGTTACACGCAGTAACTGCATCTCAATATTGAAAGTTCCCAAACCTTTCTAGTTCTAACAGTTGATCTGGACATTTTTATCTCTCCCCCTCAATAAATGAAAGACAGCAAGCCACTTTTTGTATACCTCTCTTTCCAGGGAAACATTATTTCAAGTAATATGGTCTCACTAAGTGAGGTCTTGCTAGTTTTAGTGAAGGATGGAAACACCAGGGTACCTTAGTTTCTTTCTCCATTGCAGCATCTGCAACTGAGACATTGGCTAAAATCTGGGGCAATATGAGAAGAAATAGTGGAGGTGAAGGAAATTCCACCAAATTTTGGGGAAAACAGAATTACTGGGCTAATATATATATATATATAATGCAATAGATAGTTTTTAACAGTGTACTGCTATTTATAAATCACTTGTAATCAAATAACAG